CACTAAGCCACCTTCCCAGCCCCGCAGCTGGCTTCACGCAGCAATGCTCAGGCCTCACCTCCTGAGCAGTTGGGAAGACAGGGGAGCCACGGACACCCAGCTACAATAGACTTTCAGTTCGGAGCTAACTTTCAATATAGAATTAAAAGCCCTGAGTCCAAGTCCTCAGCACCACATAAACAGAAAAGTCCAGAAGCAGCGCTGTGGCTCAAGTGGTAGAGTGCTAGCCTTGAGCTAAAGAAGCTCAGGGACAGTGCCTGAGTTCAAGCTTCAGGAATAGAAAAAAAATATGTGTATGTGCATAATAAAAATAAAGTCAGATGGGGCAGGAAAGTCTGTGATTAATTAATTAACCAACAGCCAGAGTAGAGCTGTGGCTTAAGTGGTAGAAAGTTAGCCTTGATCCAAAAAGCTCAGGAACACCACCTAGGCCCTGAATTCAAATCCCAGCACTGGTGCCAAAAGATTCTTTTAAATTATTTAAAAATATTTATGCATGCCCAATCACCTATTTTCTAATGTCAGTCCTAGCCCAGAGATCCAAAGCAGACATGGGATGGAAGCTGTGAGCACATACCCTCTTTTTTCCAGATTTCCATAGCCTCCTCTTTGCTCCAGCCTAAGAGAGTCAGAAACCAACATTGGAACCTTAGCTACTCAGGAGGCTGAGATCTGAGGGTCCAGGTTCCAAGCCAGCCTGGGCAGGCAAGTCTAAGAGACATTTATCTCCAATGAAGTAGAAAAAACACAAACAGAAGAAAAAGAAAAAAGGAGAAGGAGGAGAGGAAGAATAAGGGAGGGAGGAAGGCTGCACTGAACTTTGAAAGAGCTCACATCTTTCTGGTCCTGCCAAGTCTACCCTGACCTGCTGTCTTTGGCCTCAGAGCCATAGGGACCAGGCCTGGAGCTGTGGATGACATCTAAGTGGCAAGCGGCAAGATGGAGTCCAAGATGGGGAAGGAGGCAGGAGAGGACACAGGGAAGGAGATGCAGGGCCCTGGCCTTGGCACCACAGTGAGACTTCAGGGAAGGAGAGCCCGAGCCCGGCAAGCTGACAGATCACCGAGGCTGGGCACCCGTGGCCCTCAGATCCATCATCAGACTCCAACGCCAATGCCTCACAAAAGGAGACACAGATCGTTTAATTTCTTACTTTAAAACAACAACAACAACAGTGAATGTGTATTACCCTTATCATTAAACAAGGGAAAACCTCAGAATGATGTAAGGCAAGCACTAATCCCAGAGGCTCGGGATGGACCGTCAGCTGCAGGGACGGGTCACCGGTGGCGTCCAGACTCCTGCCGTGGCCGCTGCGTCTGGTCCCCGGAGCATCATCCAGCCTCCTGGTGACCTCTGGGGTGACCCCCCTCCCTGGGGGGCAGAGGAGACCCAAGGGCGATCAAGGTAGCAAAATTAATTTAAGTTACAAAGTTAGCTAGAACCACAGCACACCCCAAGGGCGCCTGGCGCCCCCCGGTGGAGCACACGGGCGGGCCAGGCGGGCCCGGCCGGCTCTGCGCCTCACGGGGCCAACGTGGTGAAGAAAATGTGCATCTTGGCCAGGAAGGTGGTGATGGAGCCCTGTCGCCACAGCCTCATCTCCACGTCCAGGGCGAAGTCCCGGGGCTCCAGCACCGGCCGCTGCAGGGAGACCACGCCCGTGTAGGCGTTGAGACGGCGCGTGCCGAAGTAGGCCCCCTCGTTGCCCTTGGTGATGGTCAGGGAGATGGTGTCGCCCACGAAGGCCGGCGCGGGGCCGATGCGGAAGATGTGCGCGGGCACCGGCAGGCCGGTCTGGAAGCTCAGCTGGTAGTAGGTGATGCGTGCCGGGGAGCTCTGGCACTCGGCGATGTCCTGGCACGCGGTGCGCTCGCATTTCCTGCGGGGACGGAGGGCGGTCGGCGGCCGCCCCCCCCCAGCCTCCCGTCGGCCACCGCCGACCCCGGCCGGCCTCAAGGGCCAGCTCTGCGCCTAGCGGCCAGTGACGCACGCTGCCTCAGCCTCCCCCTCTGTGAGTGGTGAACCGCCACCTGGAGGCGGTGGCCAGGCTTGTTAGCAGCTTTTACACATCCAGCCTCCCTCCTTCCTTCCTTCCTTCCCTTCCTTCCCTTCGTTCCATCCTTTCCCTCCTTCCCTTCCTTCCCTTCTTCCCTTCCTTCCTTCCTTTCCTGCCTTCAGTCCTTCCCTCCTTTCCTTCCTTCCGTTCCTCCCTCTTTCCCTTCCTTCCTTCCCTCCCTTCCTCCTTCCTCTCTCCTTCCCTTTCCCTTCCTTCTTTCCTTCCTTCTTTCTGTCCCTTCTCTTCTTCCCTTCCTTTCTTCCTTTCCTTCCTTCCCTCCCTCCTTCTCTTCCTTCTTTGCCTTCCTTCCTTCCTTCCTTCTGTCCCTTCCCTTCTGCCCTTCCTTCCTTCTCTTCCCTCCTTCCCTTCCTTTCTTCCCTTCCCTCCTTCCTTTCCTTCCTTCCTTCTTTCCCCCCTTCCTTCCTTCCCTCCCTTCTTCCCTTCCTTCCTTCTTTCCCCTCCTTCCTCCTTCCTTCCTTCCCTTCTTTCTTTCCTTCCTACCTTCTCTTTCCTCTTTCCCTTTCTTACTTCTTTCCCTTCCTTCCTCCTTCCCTTCCTTCCTTCCCTCCCTCCTTCCCTTCCTTCCTTCTTTCCCTTCCTTCCTCCTTTCTTCCTTCCCTTCTTTCTTTCCTTCCTTTCTCTTTCTCCTTTCTTCCTTTCCCTTCCTTCCTTCCTTTCCTTTCTCCCTTTCCCTTTCTTCCTTCCTTTCCCTCCTCTCTCCCTTTCTTCCTTTCCCTTCCTTCCTTCCTTCCTTTCCCTCCTCCCTTTCTCCCACCCTTCCTTCCTCTCTTTCTTTCCCTCTCTCCCTTCCTTCCTCCTTCCCTTCCTTGATCTGTTCTTCCTCCCTTCCTCCCTCTCCCCCCTCCCTCCTGGCATACCTTTGTTGGCAGCCATGCCTCGCTGCCTCCCCCCCTCTGTCAAGCGCGGGCCATGTGGCTGCTGCAGGGCGGCCGCGGTGGTGGTCGGTCACCCCGTGTACTTAGTCACAAGCTCTCCCGATGACGGCCCTCGGGCGGGACCCCGGCACAGCCCGGGGGTGGAGGGGGTGGTGCTGAGAGCCTTGTGCAAGGTGTGGGGACCCCAGCGCCCACGGAGACGGCTGGGGGATGGGACCACTTGGCTGCGGCCTCGGGAGCCCCTGAGCCGCACCACATGCCACGCGCCACGCGCCACACGCCACGCTCCACGCAATACGGCTGCCCGGGCCGCCAGAGCCGGTGCCGTGCAGCGGGTTGGAGGAAGGCATTGGCGGTGACGGATGGGTGTCACCTGTGTGAGCGCGACAGGGGTGGAGAGAGGCCTGAGTCCTCTCCTCGTGCTGGACCGTCCGCCAGGCTCGGGCGTCGGCTTTGGTGTGGCGGGGCCTTGGCTGGGGGGCCCTGGGCCTGGCAAGGGAGGGGCACCCTGCCTGCCGGCTGCCCACCCCGCCCCGCCCGCCGCGTGCTTCTGGCCAGGGCAAGGCTCTGTCTGGGGGACCAGGTCACTCACGTCTCGGAGACTCGGGCGTAGTTGGGGGGACACTCGAAGCGCAGGCAGCGGAAGCTGCCCTGGAGGTTGTGGCAGGTCTGGTCCGCAGAGCAGTTGTGGGTGCCCAGGGCACACTCGTCCAGGTCTGAGGGAGGGGACAGAGGCTGGGAGGGATCCCCGCTGCACCCCGCCAGGCCGGGGGCCTGGGGCCCAGGCTGCCTGTGCCCCCTGTGGGAACATGGCTCACGGGCCACCCTGTGCCCCACACACCCGTCTCCAGCCTTTGTTTAAAAATGCAAATGGCCCTGGAACCCAGGCCGCTTGGCCAGGCCGGCCCCTCCCCCCACATCGCCCTGCGCTGCCCCAGCAGCCCCAGCCCTGTGCCTGGAGCAGCCCGCGCCTGCGGCCCCTCATCCAGCCAGGTGCCACCTCCCTCCGCACACGCGCCTTCCTGCAGCCTGGGCGGTGACCAGCACCCCCGCGCGGGGGCTCCTCATGCCTCGCAGCCCAGCCCCCGTCCCCGCTGTCCCCCCACGGTGTCCCTACCAGCTCACAGGACCACGTCCAGAGCCCAGGCCACTCCCCGAACAGTCCACGCAAAGCAGCAGACTGCGGCTTCCCTCCCAGGCTCGGACTCGGTCTCTGTGGCCCCGTGCCCCCAGCGCCAGGCGCGGCCGCACTCACCCTTGCAGGAGTGGCCGTTGGCCAGCATGGTGTAGCCCTGCTCCGGGCATGCGCACTGGTAGCTCCCGGGCACGTTGACACAGCGGAAGGTGCACAGGATGCCGGCGCCCTGCGCACACTCGTCGATGTCTAGAAGACAGGGCCGGCGCCGCGAGCCTCAGCACCGTGGCCCGGCCAGCCATGGCCAGTGCGGCCCCGTCCCAGCCAGAGCCCAGCGTCCGCTTGACAAAGAGGGACAGGAGGGCCCCAGACACGGAGCCCGAGGCCACGCAGGCCTCACACTTGAGCGCTCGGTCCACCGCCACCTGTGGCCACTGCTCCCCACAGGGGCTGCACGGGCACCGGCACAGGCCCGGGCCTCCACCGCCAGACTTTGACCTGCACCCACTAACAGGTGAGGCCCGGGCCTCCGGTGATGGAGCAGCTGGAGGCAGAGCCGGAGCCGGTCTTCCCGAGGCCCCAGGGCAGGAACCAGCAGGCCGGGGATGGAACTGTGGGATCTGTGTCCCCGCCGAGGGGTGCCCCTCTCGGGGCCGGGCGGGGTCGGCGCTCACCGGTGCAGGCGTGCCCGTCCTCCGCCAGCTGGTAGCCCTGGCGGCAGTAGCACTGGTAGGAGCCGTAGATGTTGGCGCACTCCTGGCTGCAGCGCTGGCTCTCGCACTCGTTCACGTCTGCGGGGACAGCGCCGCGGTCAGGGCTCGGCCTCCGCCTTGCCCCATCTTGCATTGAGAAGCCATGGCACGTCTGCCGGCCTGGGGAGGGGCCAGGGCGCCGGCAACGGGGGGGGGCGGCCAGGGGCAGGCGGCGGCTGCGGGGCCCCCAGCGGACGTGTAGTGCTGGCCGGCTGCAGGCCTACGGTGCCCGTCCGGGACGGGTGGCCCTCAGGGCCCAGCCGGGTGCTAGTTAGCACTTCCAGAGCTGGGCTTCCCCTGCCTGCAGGGCCCTGGGCTGAGGTGTGCGAGAACGAGCAGCAGGCGTGTGCAGGAGCGTGGCGCCTAGTGTCTCCAAGAGCCAGGCTGGACTTGGGCCCGCGTGCCGAGGAAGCGGGCGGGAAGCGATAGTAGTCACACACGGCCATGCCGGGGGTGGCAGGACCACAGGAGCAACGTGTCACGGGGGGGGGG